CAAGGAGGCGCTCAGCCCACCACTGCTCCACCCCAGATTTCTGCCCCTCGGCGGTACTCAAGCAGCCTATCCCCAATACAGGCTCCCAACCACCCACCCCCCCAGCCTCCCACTCAGTCCATAACTCCTCCTCCGCAGACCAAGGCCAACAGTCTTGGACCCTCCCCACCTGGCCTGGAGGGTGGATCAGAGCCACTGTCGCCCACCCCTCCGCAGACCCCAACGCCGCCTGACACGCCCCCCCTGGAGAAGCACGGCACTGTCTGCCCAACTGCCCAGTCTCCAGCCCAGGACATTCCACCAGCTCAGTCGCCGCCTCCGTCGGGCACACTGCCAAGGCCCCGGCCAGTGCCCAAACCTCGCAACCGTCCCACGGTCCCTCCTCCGCCCCACCCTCCTGCTCCTCATCTGGCTGTAGATGGCTCTCTTCTGGGTCCCCCGGCAACAGCATCCCACATCGTGACCGGTAAGAACCTCTTGGCTCTGCAGGCATGCCTTTTAGCGTGTCTCCACCGTTGCGTGCTTTGGATGGAGCTGGGATGGCCAAAGGAAGCCCAAGAATTAGGCCAGCTATAGCTGTCAGCACTCATTTGGAATGGCTGGGGCAGGTTTCTGTTCCTTGTGATTGACAGAGTGCATGGAATGTGATGATAAAGGCAGATTCAATGTGTAGGAGCAAATAGTCTAGATAGGAGCACAGCACATTATTACAGAAAAAATGGTGGATATGTTGGAGCTGATAAAAAGTATATATGAGCCCATTATTTTGGCATCAATCAGCAAATCCACATCAGGGTTTTGGGTTCCTTTAACTGAAGAATGAAGGAATCTTCAACAGTCGGACCCCAGCGGTCATATTTTTGGTGTTCTGGGCTTTTACATACCATCCTTCACAATTCCCCATTCCTTCCCACCAACAATAGCAGCCCACCCTTCGCCCTGACTCAAGGTTCCTCTACAGTCCAAAATTACATTCCTTGCACTGTCTGCACCGGTGAAGAACGTTCCATGAGGTCCCGCTTCCCTCCCAGTATTCCCTCCCATATGTCCCATAGCAGCACAGCCAATGATGGGGTTCACAGATCAGGTGGCCTTTCAGCACAGGCTGTGTTTAAAAACCTCTAGAAAATCTCAGTGCCAGTTTGTAGACGATGGGAAGGCTGGATGAATTTCATTACGCTCAGATTGTAGATGGCAGACAGGGAGAGTAGTAATTTATTCTTTGATTTAAGCCCTGTCCCTTGCTAGCTAACAAAGGAATTTCTCTGTTGATGCAGTGCGTATGTTACTCATTTGGAAATCAGACTGCATCAATATTTTAAAGCTGCTTTTATTTCTTAATCTGGATTGGGCGCTTCTTAATTATGCTTAATGTTAATCTTAAGCAGCCTTTTAGGACAAAGCCTTAACTTCTGGCAGAATGAAATAGCGCATGCCCGTCTCCTAATTTCAGCAGACTCTAACATATTGATCCACAGAGCCCTGCAGAACTGTAATGGCTGCTGGAACAAAACACATTTCAGCTGCAAAAATAACCCTTTGAATCCTTTAGGTTGTGATATACTCTACAGATAATATTCTAATTGAGAATTTTATTAAATAATCTAGATGTTTGAGCTGCCTTATTCAGTAGGAACTGAAATTGGAAATGGTAAGAAGAAACCGAGGCCTTCCGATTGGCCAGAAATGTTGCAAACGCATAATCATGGATGCAGCTTTTGTTCCGTACTAACTGGTCACCATAACACAGCTTGCTTGCACCTGGACTAATCCTGCATGTGAAAGGAGTGATGCTTTTCTTGTCCATTGTTTGTAACATTTATCTCCATATTAATGCATTCCCTGGATGTATTCTGGACTACTGCCCCCTCCCCAATCCATATTTGTCAGCCTCTCATCAGCAGACACTGGAATGAATTTCTGCTTTGCAAAATCCTCAGAGCTTCATCAGTCATAGCATGTCCAGACACAAATAAAAGGCGCGCACACACAGGCACACATAAACCTTCCTTTCCTCAACCATTGTGCTGGCAAATTTGTAGTCTGAGCTCTCTCCACAGAGAGTTAAATGCAACCTTGCCGGTCAATGATGGTCCTGGCACTAGTTGCTGTTCCCTTTATTGTATGAACGAGGCGTTTCTGCTGCATGGGGCTTAAAAATGCAGGGTAAGAAGAACCTGGAAAGAGGCCTCTTGTACAGATGGGAAGCTCAGATGAATTCTGTATTCTTGAACAGTAAGAGGCAAACTTGGTGTGGTCTTGGAATAAGCAGCCATTGCCCCAGGCAAGCCAAGGTGCATTCTTTACTCGTGGCTGCAGTATTGCTGGCCAGGAGCTCTAGTAGCTGTGGCTTCTAGTCTTTTATGTGTAGAAAGACTCCGCTCCAAATATTGCCTAATTTGGGAGGGCTGGATGCAACCCTGACTTAGAAAGGCGATAAAGTGGCCGAAGCATCTTTCTGGTGAAGACCCAACCCTTAGAGGCTGCTTGGCGAGGCTAAAAACAGGCAATCTGGGGGAGCCCCTGCTCTGCCTCGGGCCCCATTGTGCATGAGCAGCAACTCCCATCTAATGGTGTGGAAGTTTGGGATCATTACAGCTCTTCCATTAGGCCCAAGGGAGAGCCGGTCAGCGCCGGTCTAAACTTTGCCCATGTGGACAGTCCTAAGGGATCAGACAGTAGCAGAACTTAGTACGGAAAGCCATGGCTGGATTTGCATCTCTGCTGGGGAGGGAATGGACAAGAGCCGGTGCTGCTAAGTCTCTGCAGTCATTCTGCATTGAAAGGGAAATGCTACCCTTGACCCATCACACATGGCTGCCCGCCTGTGGCAAACAAGAACTGCTTGCATGGCAGATGCCCTTCTACTTTTTCACTGGGGGAGGGGGGAGAACAGGGAGGTTGCAAGTGTGAAAAGTGCCTAGTGGTGCTCATGTTTCTTGGATTTTGAAATGGGGAAGAGAGCTAGGTAGCCAGGATGGGCACCCCCCCACACACAAATTGTTATAACATAATTACTCTGCTAATGGAACCTCTGCCCACTTCCAGGTGCCAATAGAGTTCTGCCCGGCCAGCCTTGCTCTGAATGTGAGCAAATTCAGAAGAATGAACCAAATTCTGTTTTCATTGACATGGTTGTTCCTTCAAATTACATTTCCCCTACTAAAGCAATTTGTGCCTTTCCAGAAGTTTCTGAGTTGGTAGTAGCTTGGCCCTAACAGTTGGACTTTTAGCTTGGGGCAAACCAGTTTCCCCATATGACATGAAGAAACTGCCTGTTTTGGCTGCCTGAGAATAAAGCTCTGTTCTCCAAGAGCTATGCTGTTCAAATTTGAAATTTAAAGTGAAGGCATATCCCGTCACCTTTGAGAAGGTCAGGCTCCTTCCACAATGAACTTACTAGCCATTATGGCTATCGTAATAAACTTGAATAAAATAAGTTGTTAGGGGATCTCTGGAGTCAGACACTCTGCTGTAATTCCTGTTCTCCTTTGAACCCAGAGACATTTTAGCATAGCGTTGGTGACAGAAAGACATATTAGTGGGAGAGTCTTGTCAATCAGCATCCCAGGCCTTGGTTTAGCTTTCAGCAATTGCACTGTGTATTTTGATTCTTTTCTGCACAGATACCAGTTCCGAGATTGAAGAACCATCACGGGGCCTCCCTGGCATGGAGCTTCCTGCCACAGAGTTGGTGACTTCGCCAAATCAGAATTCACACAACCACCTTGTGCTTGATCTCGATCACGATACTGAAAGCACTGCTTTGTAAAAAGAATAAAATCACTCCAAAACAGCCTTTCTATCCCAGTGAAAACCTAACCAGTCCAGGACTAACAGTGAGGAGCTTTAAAAAAGAAGATACAGTAGGAATGGTACCACAGCCTCCCTCGTATCTTCTGAGAAGAGACGTGATCTTTAAAAGGAGAGTTTAATGACCTGTATCCTGACAGAGCTGCCTAAGCTAACACTGGGGTATTCTGGCTGTTGCTAAACCTTGTATGAGAAGCTTGATTGCTGCTGTTAACAGAGACGGCACTTGCTGGGAAGTTTCAAGAGGCACCCAAGCAACGCGTGTGTAATGGAAATCATAGCCCTTTCAAGACCTCTGTTGAACTCTTCTTCCTTGTTCTTATCAAGGAGATGGCTTGCAAGAGACGTGTTATCTCTGATATGCTGCAGACTTCATTAAAAGTATGAACCAAAAAATTGCTACAGGTGTAGAAGATGACTGCTGGTTATCGGTCACTTTTCCAAATGGTGGATATATCCTTGTGCCTTGATGGACTTGACACTGTAGAAGGAAATGTACTGTCTCTCTAACCATTTCAGTGCTATTCTTTTTTTAAAATATTGTTCTTTACCCCTTTATTTTTCATAGATATTTGTATTAATCCTTCTGCTCTGGTTTCTGTAACATCCATAGGCAGCTGCTGCCAAGCTGAACTCTTTGGAAAATGTGTATTGCTATAAATGAGTTGAACTTTGAAAGTTATTTTGAACATCTTGTTGGGTTCATCTGCTGAGTAAAACTATTCTCACTTTTGTCACTGTAAGACAGATTTATTGTAATTTTCCTACTCAAAGAGCTGTATTTTTTCCTATCCTTCAGTGATTTAAATTACTTAGGAAGGGGAGCAGAGTCGCCCCAGAAGGAAAAAGGGCTAACTTCAAGCAGTAACTTGGCAAGAACTTGGAAGATGCTAGGGTGTGTAGACCATAGAGTAGAGCTTTGCTCCTGATTTCTTCCCTCCCTGACTCCTGTTAGTCCTGCAGGGTCAGGACCCAGAACTAGGGTTGAGCAACTTCTGGAGAGCCACTGATCCCTCAGCCCTGGTTTGAAGTAACACCAGCAGAGCCATGCACTGTTAAGGCTTCCTGACAACTTTATTGTTTCCTTTGTTTTCCCTCTGTTTGGGTGAAGAGAGTAAATGGACATCAGGGCTCAAGCCAACTCTGTCGATCCCATTCCTCCATCCCAGGGCCTTTTGGATTTGTAATCACGCCTTTAGGAACATTGGTAGCTTGTCAGGAGTTGCGTAGGGTTTCATGTAGACATATGAGTCGGAGTAGGCCATACTGTTTCTGGGGAGAGGAGGGGGAGTGGGGGAAAAAGGGGAAACTTTATTTTTCCAACCCTTTTACCAGCAGTAACCAGAAGAGGATCTGTATTCTGTGTACCCAAGTTGTGTGTTCGTGTGCAGTCTCTCCCCAGGGACTAACCAGAGTGTACATACATGTCGCCTTTGTGTCTTGGGTTGACTTGACTGGATGTCTGGAGTGCGTGTGTGTTCCTGTTCCCCCCTCGGGCTCACTCTGTGTGCATGAGTGTGCCGCTCTGGGTCGTGTGACCAGGAGGGAAGGAGGCTGAGACGGAGCCATCTGCAACTTTTCCACCGCTGCCCAAAGGCACCTCCCTTCGAGATGGGTCGCAGTGCAATTTCTTGTGGATTTCTTCCCATAATCCCCAGCTAGACCAAGTCTGTTTTTAAATTGATCTTCCTTTTAGCGCTTCTCCTGTTATGGTCCCATTTCTGCCGTGTTTAGGGGGAGTTATCCTACTGATGGGCAGAGTCCTGTGCTCCCTTGTATCGTATATTTCCAACTTTCTGTTGGATTCACAAGAGTAGAAGGGGAAATTGCTGTGCTTTACTCTCTCTGCTCCCCCCCACCCTGATTAATCAGGAAAGAAACAGGCATACCGCTGTGTGAAATTGGATGACAGTCCCCCTCTCTCAGCCCAATTCACCCCACAGGGCAGTGGTTGTGGGGAAAATAGGAGGAGGACAGAGTATTAGGTGCGTCTGCTGCCTTGAGTTATTTATAAAAAAAAATAACGATCAAAAAATCATTTAAAAAAAGGAATGATGGCAATCCATCTTGGGGCAGAAGATGCCTTAAGCAAGTTGAAGTCATCAGGTTTGGGTATGCTGGGAGTTGTAGTTCACGTTCAGGCCCTAAATTCAGATTAGGAAGGCTGGGTTAGACCTGAATTAAGCAGGAAGTGGGAGGAAGCGTCAGGCTGTCGGCCTACTTTGCAGTTGGTGAGAGCACTGGGTGGGCGCATGACAGCCTCCATCATCCTTGGTGACTCACTGTTGGCATCTTGGGGGGCAATTTGGGGGATTTGTGGTACAGTAGTTGAACACAGCCAGCATTTTGGCATTTTCATTTCTTAATTTCTTCACAAATAACAGAATGGCAAAATGGGCCATGTCTTTAGAGTCTGGGAACAGGGAGCTAATGTAAGACCTGACTTGCTCAGGTCAGTGACAGTCCACCGACACCGATGTTTCAGAGCCTGGCCAAGGGGGGAGAAGTTCCTCTGCCAGCCACCGATAGTTTGGTGCCCTGAGCCGGGGCTGGGAAGCG